ACCCTTCTTGGATTCCAAATTGAGCTGATTGAAGACTACAAACGGCCCATTCAAGGGCTCCTCGCTCCCCTTGAATTTGTGTCTAATTGGAGTCTTCTAAGTAACCATTATCATTACCATTGCCCATCAGACTACCCTAACAGCGACGTTAACAAGGAGTCGAAACTCAATGATTCTCTCGTAAATTGTAGGGGGACAAACGGGCTGGAAAATGTCTTGATTTGACTATGGGGTGAATGTAGAATCATGTAACAATTGTATTCGACTTTTGACTTTTTAGTAGACGTTTTGTTTGATTATTTACTGTAGATGTACGAGAAGTGTACTTTTCCCACAGTCGAAGTTGTAACAGGTGTTGATCAAATGAACATCTTAATTCATGGTTTAGTAAAGTGGTTTGAAGGGTTAGGTGCACATTCTGAATTATAAGTATAAAAGAAGGAACTTTAAAAATACAGTAATAAAATCAATGCCGGGCAGCACCTGGAAAAACAATAGCTATAAATAATACACGTTAAATACAATTTTTGCAAGAATATACAGGATTTTAAGGAAAACAAAAATAAAATTGGAAAACTTAAAAATAGAAAAGATTAATCAACACACGATGTCCAAGTATATCACAAACTTACTTCAAGAAGAGTTTTGGAAGAGTTGCTGTGTACTGGGTTATAACGTTCTTCCTCACCTGAAGACTGACGGGGTCAGATTCAATGCTGTTAAAAAGGGGAAATTCATTGCATACGAGTATTCCTTAAAACTACATAAACTTATAATCACGATTAAAAATTAACTTTACACAAATAATACAGAACTTGTGTACAACGTTAATCCTTCTTTACATACATTTTTATGTATACTGCAATAGAGTCATAAATGTATCCAATAATTTATTGACATACGTAACGCAATATTTACTCGCCACTCAGGCCTTGGGTTGATGAAGACGAGAGATTAGAATCTCTCTGACACCTCGCTGGAGATGGAGATCAAGGTTTGTTTAATGGGTTGGGACAAAAAGCCAGAACTGGAGATTAGAGGAACAGCTGATCTGGTCTTGTCTGACCAGCTGTCTACCAGTCTACCTGTATCTGAACATCTAGATTGGGACATTAAACAAACTCCATCAGCTTAGTTGGCAAACCTGCTTTAAAGTAATCGAACTCTCGTGACAATAAGTTGTTTATTTTTGAACAAAACGAAAATGTCTGAAATGTTTAAAGTTTTCTGAGATTTGAGTGATTTGTTTTGTGTGTATTTATTTATTTGTGTAAAACATATAAGTTGTGTGAAGTCTAATTTGATTTCAGGTTAATAACGGCTTATTTTTGTGTGTTTCTATTTTTGTTTTTCCACGTCATTGGTATATCTACAGTATTTACGTTTTCCGAGAGGTCCATACCTAGACTGCGCCGCTGTTTAACGTACACCATTTTTTGTATAACATTATAATTGATAAATTAATGAAAAAAGACACCTGGATTTAAAACCGGCCCCGCTCTGAATCGAAGCACTCTTCCAGATTAGAAGAACACTGTAACAACTTGGCCACCCTCATTATTAATGATTTGGTTTAGATTTTTAATATTTTTCAGCTTGTATGCTCAACAGACAAATTTTGTGAAAAATTTTAATACATTCTAAATATTTAAAGTTTCCTTAAATTTGTATCATCATTTTGCTAAATTTCAATAATGTTTGTCGAGTAGCCTACTTGCATTCAGATATATAGAAGCGAAGGCTATTTTGATTTTATATTTTAATACAATCACAGATTATAGGATAAACAGTAGTAGTTGTCTACTCTTCAATCCGTGGTATAATATGAGGATAAGTTGCTTAATTAAGCTGCAGTAATTTTCCCTTTTAAATTTGAAATAGCTTATATTTTAGGAATTGATTTCTTCAAAGACTTTACGATTGGAGCATAGGTAAATGGATAAACATAAGGACTAAATAGTCTTTTGTTATTTTGATATAAATAAACATCACAAATCTTTATTTAGAAAGAAATACTATCTAGATAAACAATCAAACGAGAAACGCCTAATTATCTATGTGCAAAGCTTCCAAACACTGTGAAATACAACTCCACCCCTCTTCTTTTTGCGCAGTAGGCCTATTTCTATCACAAACTATAACATTTATAAACATAAGTGTTATAATACAATATATTATCTCCGCAAACTAATTCTGCAACGATTACCGCCGCGGAACAAGAAAGCAAGAACTGCACAATTAACGAGGGAGATTTCATAAACAAGCGATAAAGAGGGAGATAGGGAGTAACAAACGTAACACAATAACAGCTGTGGTGTAACAGTGACAAACAACAGTCGACCAATGGCATCGCGCCGTTCCCGCCACTAATGCCATTATCGCGGTTGTCACAATGGCCGCTTACACAACAATCTGATCATACTGGCCGTGGACTGTTTTGTCACTATTATCGGCTTTAACGCGCTTAAATGCTCCCCGGTGCGCTTAAAAAGCATTACCGGTGTTAACACGGGGTTATTGAGGTTAGGATTCCCGCGCTGTCAGTCAGGCTGACAAAATGGCGGGAGTTGTAGGGTTTAATTGGTGTTATCCGTGGTAGCCAATAGTAAGAGCATTACGTTTATATTCTAAAGTTCTAAGTTTACTTTCAAAGAATATTAAGTTGCATGTACGAAAAAGCGTTTTTTTTTCTACGGGCACAAATGAATTTTATATTTCTGTAGTCTAAACATTATTGATGATAAAATTGTTGTATGCTTTAAAATGTTTTTAAGCATAGCTATGATGTGGAATTGCAAAAATGATAGCAGTGGCATGTTTTTATTATAGTAAAGACATCTATATATTAATAAACAAGCTTCTTTCTTTACAACCTTTTTTCTCAGCTCGTGTGAATCGCAGGAAAATCTACGCATACTGTTAAAAATATATTTTCCTGTAGATGTGCAGAATTCCTTTATAAATTAAAATAGGCTCAACAAAAATCACAAAAAATGAATTTAAAATTTAAAAAAATTAACATGGGCCTTATGGGTTGCCATGCTGGTGACGAAATAACAACAAAGTGCTATTTTTTCCAATCATGTCATTATTGTTATTATATTTTTATGCAAAACAGTGCAATCTGCCAATGTATATTATTGTATAAAGGTGTTTCCGTATGAAATAAATAAATAAATAAAATATGAACAAAAAATCAGAACAAATGGAAGAAATTCCAATCCCATGATGTATTTACAGCGTGTGTGAAAATAGCATAATAGATTAATGTCTGTACATTACTCATTTTTGGTCGAGTTTTCGACCACTGGATGACCTCTAATTATTATTATTTTGTTTCAAATTAAATAACTTTATAAATAATTAACTTAGCCCATAATATTTTTTCATAATCTGACCAAACTTTTACGCCGAAATAGAAGTTTTTAGACGCATCTAATATACATGTACCACAATTAATCAGCTAATTAATTTATTTATTTATTTATTTAACTTATTTATTTATTCCACAGCAATACCATGAACAGTAAGAGCATACACATAGTTAATATAATAAAAATTTCTGCTTTCTTTCGCTACTTCGACGAATCCGACTGATAACCGTAAAGTCGGCAAATTGAAGTGATTTTCATTAAGTATTCACATTTACTTTTATCAGCGCCACCAAACCTAGCTTGCATGATTCTCAAGTTAAAATATTAAAGGCTAGCTACTGTAGTAACATCAGTTTGAAAAATGTCCAATCCTAATCAACTTCTAACCACACCCTTTGTTACTAGGACGTCTTGTACAAACAAACTGGAGACTTGATGAAGACGTTGAATGAATCAACAGATTGAGCGTTCACTGGAGTGTGAGTCGCATAACAATCTCCACAATGGACGGCTGAATGAGTGAATGATGAGTGAATGAGTGATTACCGCTGAATGACGCCGAGTGATGGTCAGTTTCCTCAGCATTGTGTGCCGCGGATGTCCTGTTTACAGGCAATGTTACCAATATGACTACACTATAACAACCACCACCTTCCTGTCGCCTTGGAGCTTGGCTATCAACTAGGTCGCAGAAACGTGAACAAGAAGGCTACGTAGACAATTATTGCGGATGTTGGATTATTCTAGATTTGGTGCTGAGACGAGACTTTCTGAAAACTTGTTTGCAGAAACTTACAGTTGGAGAATACTTGAACGTTGAATGCTGATCTGATGTTGTTACACCTTCTCCACCATCACACACTTGATAAAGCAAAGCAAACAATTTTACTCAATAAACAAATTTATAGAATTTAGTCTTGGATAATGCGGCGTTATTTTATTGATCAAAAAACTAAATAGAACATTTCTCATTCACTCCTTCAGTGTACGCATATGTTTTATTTTTGGATTTCATTATTAAAATGCTATCTCCTTGTATCATATTCTTAATTATGATATAATTACAGCGACATTTTACCTTCCACTTTGTTATGATTTAGTATCTCGATGTATCCTCACCACCTCATTCCACCTTGTATTAACTCATAACTCATTTATTGAACCAAATTTAATGATGTTGTAATTTGGAAAAAGGCTGCCCACTGCTCCCTTTCATCAGCATCTAGCTTGCTTCAACATTTTGAAGTGGTTGTTGCGGTAAATTCTTCGTCTGTTTTTTTAGTATCTCGATGTACTCTTTTACCTCCTCTAACCTTTGATTTTAGTTTTCATTTTTAAAAATGGCTATGTAATTTTTTTTTCTTTTCCAGCAGCATCAATTTTGCTTCAATATCTTGAAGTGATTTTTGCGGAATCGTCTACCTCAGTGTCTATAGTATCCATTTTTACTCTTGGGTATTCTTTAAACATCCTTTGATTGTAGTTGTCTTTCTAAATTTTCTTTCCCAGCAGCATCCAATATGCTTCAATATCTTGAAGTGTTTTTTGCAGCATCTCCTTCCTCAGGGTCTCTAGTACCCAGGTGAACTCTTGGATATACTGTAACCCTTCTTGTTCTTGTTGCAGGATGCAGCAGCAGCAACTGGCAGCTCAGTTGGCCCACTCGCACGGCCACCATCACAGCTCCACGTCGCTTCACTCTCACAGTGAGCCGCCTCCGAGTCCCGCCGCCGCCTCCACCACCTCCGACTCCTCCATCAGCCTCGGAGCGCCGTCCCCGCAGCCGCCCCCACCGCCTCCCTGCACGCTACATCGTCCCTTCTCGTGATATCGGCCCCCCTGGCCTCTCGCCCTGCCCGGACACTCGCTGCTCTCCTAGGTGCAAAGACTAAGTGTTTGCCGTCCGAAAGTTCTTAAAGCCACTTTAGACATTTTTAAAGTTGTTCAGGTTTTATTTTGAAAATGGTTTACTGATTTGGACTTTTTGTATACAATTTTTATGTATTTTTCATCACAAATTAATTAATGGGATACTTAGTTTAGTAGGCCTACCATGTTTTAAAATTATATAAGATTACTCTTAATACAAAGACCGATGGTTGTAAAATAAATAAGGAGATAAAATCAATAATAATTACTTTGATTATTGGTACTTTAATACTTCACACAAGGATGCCATTCTTTCTAAGTTTTTCAGAACAACTGGCTTGTTTTAGGAAAGATTTAGTTAATTAGTTATGGAAAATTCTACTATTTTTACACCATAAACTACACAAGAAAATTGTTAATTTTAACGTTAAAATGTAATTAGCTAATTATGAAAAAGTATTTGCTATATTGTATACAATGCAATGTTTTCTGTAAGACCTAATACTTGGATTGGAGAGCAGCCTGTTATGAAGTATGTGTTTTGCAGAAAATTGATCCTTACAAGTCGATAAATAATTCACAAGAATAAGAAGTCTTAAATTTTTTTTAATTTAAAATATATCCAAAACTATGCAATATTTGCATTGTCGTCATCGATGGTAAATTCATGTTCATTTTATGTACAGATAATCTCCAAAAAGAAGTTTTTATTACAATAGTGAGTTATGAATTCACCATAATAATACTTTTTTTAAATGATTCGTTGGATTCAAGTTCCAATGTTCCAAAAATCAAACTCACTGCAAAACACATTCTCACATCGTCCTTTTCATAGATTATACGTGTATTTAAATAATTTATATAGAAATTATAAATCGTATATATATAAATAATAGTTATCGATATATAGTACTGTATTGTAAATAAGAATTATTTAACCCTCTTTTGAGGACTCTTTCTCAGTCAATTGTTGTACCAAGACCAACCTTGCGTTGTCATGTAAATAGAACGTTACGTAAAATTTTGTGCAATTCAAATTATTTGTAAGGTACGACTAGTTTAACGTACTGTAATTTTAAATTCAACCTGTTACAATGGGAGGATTACCTAATAGATTCAGCAAGGGCTTGAAATATTATTGCAATGTTTGTGCGGAACTCGAAGCTGTGTTTTTATTTGCTATAGATATTTAGGGGTTTAAGTATTGTATTTAGGCTATAGGCTTACTAATTTTAAATCGTCCATAACAAAAACTATAGCGTTTTACATTGGAAAAGTTATATCTTTACCAGGTCTTTCTAAATCTAGTATCATTCATTTTCTAAGAAAATTTTAATGCTTACTCCTTAAAATTTAATTTCTAACCTAGTTATGTATTCAACTAATTAATTTTAAATATTCTAAGGCTTTAATGACACATAAATCAATGACTCGACCTTTAAAAATACATGACAACACAATTATACTATTAACCAGGCAATTTGTCAAAAATGAAAGGTGAAAATAAAGCAATATTTCAAAATGGAGCCCAGTGTCAACAAATTACAGTTATTAATGCACTAATGGAATCAACAAGATGTTAATAACCGTGGAGTTGCTATTTGGAAGGTGGGGGGAGGGGTGAAGTAACAGATGGGGTTTCAAAACAAAAACACCTGTCCTAGGAACAGTTGTGCCACCTGAAATAATAAAAATACGCTCAGTTTACTAAACAGTATGTCATGCAATGTGATTTAGCTAATAAGTATTGAGCTATAATATTTTCAAAATTTATTCCACAGTATTATTTTTTTTATTATTAACCGAGTTTTGTAACAGTTTGTGACATTTTGTTAAATATTTAGAAACTTATTATTTTTATTTTTTAACTTTGAATTGAATTTTTTAACGCAAACTCAGCTAAACATAGTAAGTAATATAATTTACTATGGACCCTGCAAACTTTCTTATTTCATTGTTTCATGAAGATCTTTTGGTGCGTTTCTGGTTGCATTTGAGTAAGTTGATGTCCACTACGTGTTTTATATCTTATCGGTATACAACAACACACACTACACAACAATACAACAACAACAATAATACAATTTACATTGTTGTTATATTAAAACATAGACAAATGCAATTAAATTAGACCGACAGCAGTGCTGCGGTTAGAATAATTTTCCTAGGATAAGCACGCACCACGTAACTACACGGCACTCCTAGCGGTGGACGCCAGAACTTATGCTAACCGTAGAGCCACCGGTCTGTATTTAATTCTACTTGTCTATGATTATAACAAGATCCAAAAATAATATCGTCATACTTGGTCCATCGGTTTTAAGATTAGTAAAATACCTACAAATAAAGTGAAAACAGCAACGCACTCAAAGGTTACAAAACAGAAATAACTCAAAAACATTTCAGCTGATGCGTAATGATAAACATAATAAGTATTTTTAATTTTCGGAATATTTATGAATCTTTTTCGTCATAAAATCCTCTTTATGAACCATCATTACTATTTCATTGCTATCAACCCCCGGTCATTGTTATTTAATGACATAATTACTCTGTTGTTCCGACTGCAACTAATTCATAATTTGGCATTAACGGTATTCGTGTCAATAAATTCACAACCCATTTTTACCCTAATTATTTGTGATAATTATTTATTCCTAACGCCAACAGGGATTTTACTATTAGTGTTATATTTTTGTAAATAGCTACATGTACACTTTGCCCTCTAGTTTGTAATCTGAGGTGCAGTTACTGTAAGTATACTGTTAGACTTGTAGATATACTGTAGTATACACAGCTTTACCTGGTCGCCTAAAACTCTTGTAAATATCATGCAAATATATCACTTATATGATAACCTGTGTGTATTATTGATACCTTAGACATGCTGTCGAATCACAATTCAACTATAAATATTGCTAATTTACAGTAAATAAGTTTCAGTGTTTTAATTTTTAACCAAGAACCAACTGATTTTTTTTCCTTTTAATTGAAATGCAATAGCATCAACTTTATGCCACTATAAAAAGAGATGTTAACTGTAGGTATATCAGTAGTTTCTTTCAATTTAATCCTTTACTATGGGCTTGCTTTAGACCCTCAAAATAACTACAGTATTTAAGGCGTTTGAAATTAAATATTGATTTATATCCTTAACAAATTGAAAACTGCTTAACTTTCAATTTTGTAATGGCATGCATTTTATTGTCAAAGCTGATTGAGTTGTTAAATACCAATCTAAACAATAGGTAGTTTGGACAAAGAATCCATTGCCATTTTCATAATAGTATGCCTATATTTTTTCATCACTAGGGCCTAAAGTGACACTTTTTGGCCCGAGGTCAAGTTTTACGATCGAGGCGAAGCCGAGGTCGGAAAATGAGCGAGGGTTAAAAAGTTACATTTTTTCCGTGTGGCGAACTATATTTCTCGTCATAGTGCATCTCAAATTAACAAAAACAAAGCTAGAAAACGAAATAATTTGTATGTAAAGATAACCTCTCTAAACGACTTCCACCTTGTTTATCAATTCTGCTAATGCAAATAAGCAGCTGTTTAGTAAGGGATTCAATTATTTCATCTATTAGGATGTGTTATTATACCATCGATATGTCGAGCAATCGACAACAATAGGCTAATAAACCTTACATAATGAATCAATCAATGTATAATTTCGATCGATACGATTGCCACACAATCGAAATTTACAACTGTTTACAACAGCTGATTTTTACTCCCTAGAGACTAAAAATATTTTTTTTACTCCCTAGAGAGTAAATATGCTACTAGACCCGCAACGCATGCATTAAAAACGGCTGTTTTTGCTGCAGTATGAAGAAAAAAATAATTGGGCACCGTCTAAGAATACTCTCAACAAATAATCATATAAATTATTCAACATACCTAAGAGTCAGTCACACATAAATACAAGTATATTAAATAAGAAAGCTATTTTTACTTAAAAAAAAGCATTTTCCCGTGCAAATTGGCGTTTTTTATCATTATTCATATGTCTTAGAGATGTCCAATCTCGAATTATTTGTGGATAATCAGATATCAATCCCGTCACTTCACACTATAACACAGTATGCTACACACTACACTACAGTAGTATAGTGTGGCCTTGCTTCACACAGACCAAAGCCCGACACACGAGCCACTTATACCAGAGCACAGAAAACGTACTACTATAACCGTATAGTAGTATAGGTATAGTAGGTAGTATAGGTTATAGTAGTACGTTTTCTGTGACCAGAGGAAGCAAGCTTATTAGTAATTTCGTAAGTAACATAGAAACAAGGATACGACTGAGGTTTCGTATGGTATGTGTATGTAATACTAGATTGTATACAAACTATTACACAATGTTTACGTTACAACTTATGGTATCAGGCCACGTAATGCATACACATACTGTATACATATTAGGCTAAAATAATTTAATTTTAGAATAAAGAGTAGACAGTATGAAATGTCTACTCTTTATACTGTGATAAAATAAAGAACATTTTGTCATTACAGAAAGCTGCAGTTTTTTAGGGCGGTTAAAAGTACCCAAAAAGACTTAACTTACCTCTGGAAAAAATACCACTTTAAATTTCAACAAGATTTGAGTAAGGTTACGTAGTTTATACCAAAAGAACTATTAGTACTAATTAAAACAAACAAAGATGGTAATGATGATGGATTTTGATTTGACACTCCAATCGTCATCAGACCCAATAGGCGAGCCCAAAAAATGTAGTATTAAGAGTTCTTCTAACATGGATTGCAACATTTACTTTTCCCTTTTCCTCTCAATTATTCAAAATGGTGATACAAAATTATATTAGGTGTATTGGTATTTATAAGCACACATGTATTCAATGAATGAGTTACGGTTTGGTATTGCATCACAGAAATCTATATAAGTAAGCAAGCATGTTTCTGAAAACCTCTTTTCTCAGCCCGTGTGCATCGCAGGGAAAATCTACGCTTACTGTTAGAAAGATATTTTCCTGTAGAAGTGCAGAATCCCTTTATAAATTAAAATAGGCTAAAAAATAAGCACAACAAA